TTGGTACCAAATGGGTTGAGTAACATAAATAATTTTTGTATATTAATTTTTCTTTATTAATTGTTTGTTCATGAATAAATTTTCATCAGAGTAAAAAAATTTTCCCCAGACCTTTGACATCGTGTTTTTATAATTTTTTCTGTGAATAAAGCTTTAAAACGCGTTTTTTTGTTGTTGACTATAATAATTCTTCATAATTTATTAATATTTGTTTTTACCCTGTAACACTTACCCTGTAACACTTACCCTGTAACACTTACCCTGTAACAGCCATTCAGGTTAGAGCCCGAGTGCCGGGAAGTATATACTCAGACCTGAGACGTGAGGGCGTACTTAAGGAGTCCCTACTGTCCGGCGATAATAATGTGAAGTATCGGTGGGTTTCGTACGACAACTGGACGTTTGAGCGCAAATTCAATGGTAATTGTAATTGTACAATTAACAATTACCATTGAATCATACATTCATACTCTACTAGGTTAGTTTAGGTACTTTTTATTCACCATGAATGTTGTTGATATTTTGTACTAATTACATTTTATTTCTTTTATATTTAGTTATGTTTTATTTTACACTTATATTTAAACAGTATTTGAAAAATGAAAAAACATTAACTAAAATAATTGTAAATAATTGTTATTTTACGACACTTATTGACAATATTTATCACAATAGTAGATAATGATAGCGCCGACGACCAGACCGGTGACGAATGGCCAGATACTGGACGGTTCCATAAACATAGGACCTTTGGATGACGTGGACTCTTGAGACACCGTTGATCCGGACTTTTTCGCAGGCATTGGTACGGATTCAGGCGCCCAACCCGTCAGTTCACGGGGTGGACGTAATCGGGCACTATTGGCCGGCGCCGGATTGGCTGGTGGTACGTGTTTTTTAGTTGTACTCATGGATTGGTATACAAGTTATGTTTATTATTGATTTTGTATGTGTTTTGTTTAGTTATGGAGTGTTTGTTGCAACTGTTTTAAGCAAATGTTTATATTGATTACTTAAACAATAATTAAAATTATTTATTGTGGTTGATATGTATTTGTTGTAGTGTTTTGTTTCATTTGAATTGCACGAGGTAAATTATTGTTAAATTATTTAGTTTTAAAAATAAAATGTTAAATTAAAAGTAAAAAAAGGTTTTTTTTAATAAGAATAAAATTTAATAAAATACAACTAAAATTTTGCTTATAATTTAATAATCATATAATATCTTATAGTAAAAATATTTGTCATTTAATTAAATTCTGTTAAAAATACAGTAATTTAATATCAAAACTGTTTAAATAATTAATTTTCAATTAAAACCAAATGGGATCCAAATTTTTCTAGAATATTTAACTAACAATTTTGACTCAAAAAATAATTTATTAATTAATTACTTATTACTAAAAAACATATTTGACTTCAAGTCTGCTAACAATTTTGTAAAGCGTTTATAAAACACAATTAAAACTAATCACTATTAAAACAAACTACTGATGAAACTATTAATTTCATGTCTATTGGCGATAATCATCGCCATTAACGGTAAGGCGCCGGCAATTGCCGGCCAAACATGTTTACTAATATCATTTCTATTAAAACTATATAATAAATAATTAATTAACTAACTTATCATAACTATTACAACAAACCTAACTTTAATAGCCGACCCTGGTGTTTTGATCGTATCCCGTGAATCGCAGCCATTAAGTGGCAATGACTACCAGTCCCAGAGACTCAACAATGTCGGTGCCATTCAGCCAAAGACCATCATTATAAGCAATGTTGGCAATAGTGGTGACGACCAGTCATCCTCTGGTGCCGACAGCACAGGTAACCCAATGCGTGACGTTATCATGAATGTAATCCACAGTCAGCTGAGACAAGCGGCTGCGGAGGCCAACGGCACGGATGGCAACGGTATTCCCGAAATGGTATTCACAGACCCGGAGCAACACATCTCTGGCCAACAACAACAGCAACAACAACAACCCCAACAACAACGACCACAACAACAGCCTGCGCTGACCGCCGGCGCCGGCATTATCGAGAGAGTGTACACAATGCCGGCCACAACCCGACTGATTCGCACCGAACAACAATCGGACGGCCAGTCGGACGCCAAACACTTTTACATACCGTTCCGCTCGGCATCGAAGGCGTCGGCCAGTATGTGGAGAAGTCCGTTGCCGTTCTTCCGGCAGCCAATGGGCGGAGAGGGCCACCCGTGCCAGCACGGCATGAATGGTATGCGCCGACAGCGTAAGGGCAGAAACATGAGACGGAGAGGTAGGCTACTGTCCCCCCC